GTGCTGGACTGTCTCAGGGGCCTCCTTGCACAACCTACACCTTGGGTCTTGTCTGGTGTGGTAGATCTGGGCCTCTATTGCTCTGGTGTTTAGGGCCTGTTCCTGGGCGGCCAGGATGAGGGCCTCTGTGCTGTCCTTGAGTCCAGCTTTTTCCAGCCATTGGTAGGATTTACTGATATCAGCCACTTGGGTTATTTGCTGGTGGTACATCCCATGTAGGGGCTTGTCCTCCCATGATGGTATCTCTGGCACCTGAACCTCCGTTCCCTGTTGTCTGAGACATTCACTGAGCACATTGTCTGTTGAGGCTTTGTCCCTGATGTATTTATGGATCTTAGTTGTTTCGTCCTGGACAGTGGTTCTCACACTCACTAGTCCTCTGCCTCCTTCCTTGCGGCTCGTGTACAGTCTCAGGGTGCTGGATTTGGGATGGAACCCTCCATGCATGGTTAGTAGCTTTCTAGTCTTAATATCTGTGGCTTTTATCTCCTCCTTTGGCCAGCTAATTATTCCAGCAGGGTATCTGATTACTGGCAGGGCATAGCTGTTTATCGCACGGATTTTGTTCTTGCCATTGAGCTGGCTTCTCAGGACTTGCCTTATTCGTTGGAGGTATTTAGCTGTGGCTCCTTCCTTGTGGCCTCATCGAGGTTGCCATTTGCTTGTGGTATACCTAGGTACTTGTAACTGTCCTCTATGTCTGCTATTGTTCCTTGTGGGAGTGAGACTCCTTCTGTGCGGATCACCTTCCCCTCTTTGTGACCAGCCGACCACACTTCTCTAGTCCGAATGATCCCAATGTCAGTGCTGTAGATCCTGGTGGTGTGGATCAGTGAGTCGATGTGTCGCTCACTCTTGGCATACAGCTTGATGTCATCCATGTAGAGAAGATGACTGATATTTTCAGTCTGTATCCGTAGCCAGTCTTGTTGATAATTTGGCTGAGGGGGTTCAGGCCTATGCAGAACAGTAGCGGGGACAGAGCATCTCCTTGGTATATGCCACATTTGATGGACACTTGTGCAAGTGGTTTGCAGTTGGCTTCAAGGGTGGTTTTCCACAGCTTCATCGAGTTTGCAATGAAGGCTCTGAGAGTCCTGTTGATGTTATACTAAGCATTCAATGATCCAAGTATGTGGTATTGAGTTATAGGCTTTCTTGTAATCAATCCAGGCCATGCACAGGTTGTGTGTTGAGTGGTTGAGTGGAGAAGAGCGGTTAATCCTTCTGGATTCATTCTCCCTTGTGTATCTCTTTAGGCGGCTGGCCAAGGCTTGGAGCCTCTGTTTGGCAGTTTCAAGTGCTTCAGGTATGGGCATCTGCCTGTACTTTCTGGGTACTGGTCTTTTCATTGCACCCTTGTGGAGCTCTGACAGTTGGCTCACTTCCCTCCTTGTTACCTTGATTTTAGCCTCTAACCGTCTTTTCCATGGTGGGTATTGGGTCTCATGGTTGCCCTTATAGCCAAGCATCTCAAGGATCACTGATGCCGAGTTGTAGATCAGCTCATTGGTTTCTGTTATGGTGTTGGTAGGGATCGTTCTCAATGCTGCATTCACATTCTCAATGAGACTTTCTGATGGTATTTCACTCAGCCGTTGTAATTGGCACCGAGGACATATAAATATATACATACACACATACAGATATACACACATATACATATATATATATGTATATAAATACATACACACACATACACACACACACACACACACACACACACACACACACACACACACATATATATATATATATATACACACACATATATGTATATGTATATATATACATATATATACATATATATATATATATATATGTATATATGTATATACCCGCAGTACCTAACACCATAAATAGTTCATATTGAATGTTGGTTAAGGCTTGCATTAACAACCCAAAGCTGTACAATAAAAATATAAATGTACAATTGAATTTATGTATATATATACATATATACATATACATATACATATACATATATGTATATGTATATGTATATATGTATATATATACATATTTTACTATACATACATGTTTAGTAAAATATATATATATGTGTATATATATGTACGTAAAATATGTATGAAAAATGTAATGTTTTCATACAGTTGTTGGTAATTACAAGGCTTATTTTTGTTTTTATTTAAATCAGTTTTATGAGTCAGAAACAGCTAAACCACAAGAAACCTGAAAGAAAATGTTGCTAATCTCAAGGATTAGCAACATTTTCAGTCTAGAAACAAAACTGAACCAGTCATTGACAGCATTTTCTTGGGTTGCTGCCAGTCTGTCCCTCGTGTCAAGACTGACTAATCTTTCTCTGGTTGGTCCAACCTGTTGTCCTCTGGTTGGTCCAACCTGTGGTCCTCTGGTTGGTCCAACCTGCGGTCCTCTGGTTGGTCCAACCTGTGGTCCTCTGATTGGTCCAACCTGCGGTCCTCTGGTTGGTCCAACCTGTGGTCCTCTGGTTGGTCCAACCTGTGGTCCTCTGGTTGGTCCAACCTGTGGTCCTCTGGTTGGTCCAACCTGCGGTGCTGTTGCTGCCAGTGAAAAAAGCAGAGCTTACCTCTACCACAGTAGAAACAGTCAGCTGGACCACGGGGAACATATATTCCCATATCTCGAAGAGTTTCGCGAAGGAAACGATCCATTGGTCTGCTGCGTCTCACTGTGAGGTCCTGTTCTGCCCAGTGGAAGAAGCAGAACCAACCATCTCCACAGTATGAACAATCAGCTTGTTTGGGAATATAAATGCCCATGTCTCGAAGACTATCGGTCACAAAGCGATTCATTTTTCAGAGGATTTCTACCAGATTTCTGTTTGTGCTTCTCTGATAAACAGATTCCACAAAAATGGAAGAGTTGGAACACTGACTGCCTGTTATCTCACAGCTAATCAAAGCAGTTTGACGTTACCTAGCAACGTCAAACTCTTGGTGTAATTTCAAAATAAGAGCATTTTAAACTGAACGTATTTGATCTGACACAATCAACTGATTCAGTTGAGGAAGAAAATGATCTGCAGTGTGTCGGAATAATTGCTGACCTTCCTAAATAGCTAAGTTACAGTTGAACTAAATGAAATTAGCAGGCAGGTTAAGTCCATGATGTATGCTGACAGATCTGGTTCACTGTTAGTGTTTTCCACCTGAGACTCCTGAGGAAATGATGTTAGAACAGTTTTCTAAAAGATACACCATTATTTTAGGAAGCCTTTTGAATATAATCTTCAGGTTTACGAATTAGACATACCATTCATTAAACTCATTATTTGGTGTTATAATAATCCAGTCACAGAGATTATAGAACATCTTCTTCAAGAGATCAAAAACTTTCTAATTGTTGTTTAGTAAAACAATTTTTGTTTTACTAAAACAGAGAGATTAGAAATTCATAGAAGTTAAAGACTCGAGCAGCAGGTACTTGTATATATCTTGTATACAAGTACAAATGTATTTGTATACAATCCACAACTTGAGATCTACTGTACTACACCTCCATTAGTTCTCCACCAGATGGCGTTGGGGATCTCGGTTGGGGGATCATTATCACTCCAACAGTAAAGTGTTAACCTTGTGGTAACCCCCAGCCTCCTAGAGTGTCTTGCTTTCCTTTTAGTGATCACTAGTTTTTTTGTGATTACCTGCTGAAGTCTCCCAGATGGAAGCCTGGACCCCGGCTCTTGTCATTTTCCAGAACCACATCAGATCAGTTGCTGTAGACGAAACGTCTGGACAAGTTCCTTTCTGGCTGGGAAGCCTGGATCGTCTCAATCCTGTTGTTACTGAACACCTTGCAGCTTGAAGTTTATATTACGCAAAGAAAATAAAGAATCCTGCATGACACTGGAGTGTCATCAGCCTTTATGTTGTGATAAATTAAACTGCCTTTCTGACTGAAACCTTCCACAGGTCACACGTGACAAAGGCTTCTAACGTGTGTGAGTCCTCATGTGATAACGTAAATTAGATTTGCCTCTGAAACTTTTTCCACAAGTGGCACAAGAGAAGGGTCTCTCATCTGTGTGAATTCTTATGTGATAAGTTAAATTCCTTTTTTTACTGTAACTCTTTCCACAGGTCACACATGAGAAGTGTTTCTCAGCCGTGTGTGTTGTCATGTGAGTAGTTAAAAGAGTCGACTAACTAAAAACGTTTCCCACAAGTATTACAGCTGAAAGGCCTCTCACCCATGTGACCTTTGACATGTATGGCTAAACCACCTTTTTGAGCAAAACCTTTCCCACAGATTACACATAAGTAAGGCTTCTTCTCTGTGTGAATTCTCAAGTGAATGGCTAAAGTATGTTTATAGGCAAACCTTTTTTACAGGTTGTGCATGAGAAAGGCTTCTCACCTGTGTGAATTCTCATATGAATGTTTAAACAAGACTTGGTAAGGAATCGTTTTCCGCAAGCAGTGCATGACAGAGGCTCCTCTCCGGTATGACCTTTCATGTGAAAGAAAACACAATTATACACTGTCATAACTTAATTTATTGTGGAAAACAGAGTGCTATTAAAGTGATCGGTCAGAGGAAAAGATAATTTAAAACTATTAATACATTTAAATGAAGACTTGCAAATAAAAGTAATTCTTCATTTACACATAAATGTGAAATCCCACATTCAAGCAAACATCAAACCAACAAAAAACAACAAATGTAACAGAAATGTAGGTGAGATGTCAGATTAATGGTCGTTACCATTTGACTTGTGCGCCACATCATATAGTACAGTATCGTTATGCTTTTAGTCCAGTGTATATCATACAGCATTCTGAGATACCTGTGCAGCAACGGTACATAAAGTAGATTCAGAAAACATTTTCTCAAAGTACAAATCATTTCTGACTCTACCAGTGCAAAAAGTAACAGCTAACATGTATCCACTAACCAAAATCATGAAAATACAAAACAAGTCCAAAAGTTTAAATCTAAAATGTTTAAATGGATTTTTCATGTAAGCCACTACAAATATCACTTGTAAAAAAAAATTCATATAAAAGAACTAATTTAATGTAGTTGTTACAAAGATCTTTAGATGCTTTACTTAAAAATCACTTTTAAAAATATGGTTACAGTTAGTGACTATGGCAATCACTGAAAAATCCATCAATATTTTTAGCAAATCAACATTTATTGATAAGAATATTCTGCGGGGTTAAGAGCGGCCCACGTTTGGAGGCCTGAGGCCGTCACAGGTTCGACACCCGGACCCGCGACATTTACTGCACGTCTTTCTCTTTCCTGTCAGCCTCCTTTTCACAATAAAACAAAAAAAGGTAGAAAAAGAAATATTTAAAAAAAAAAATAAGCAGGGTTTCCCCCAGTATGTTTTAAGGCTGGTGGCCTGCCATGCTTTACTTGACCCCTCCCCCAACTCGACCACCTCAGTGACCCAGACGACTGGGCAGAGCAAATTTTCTGGGTCAAACCCGGATTCTGCAAAAAAAAATAAAATACTGGTACAAAGTTTAAGATCTGTAGAACATGTGCAAACCTTTATTTGTACAAACACTTACTCATAGCAAATTATAACAATGACTTGTGTGAAAAACATTTGGGAAAATAAAAACCTCTGTGGTTTGACCTAAATAAAAATCTGACCAGATCTCAATTATATTATCATTTTTAAATAAACATGACAGTTCTATTTACAGGAAAAAAATAACATTTCAATGGTTTAATATGTAAAGAATTTCACATGAAGTCACAGACGGAAATGCCAAAAATGTAAAAGCTGAACTCAGTTATTCTACATTGTACAGAACTCCATGAAAACTAAAATGCACAGAAATGAATACTGTCGGAATGTGTTCCCCTCTTTAACTTCAGCATCTAAGGGGATACTGATGTGGATCTTCAGTACAAATATGACAGACGTAAAATAAAAACAAAAACAATTACAGAAAAAAAGCTGGTCCACAAAAGTAGACCTTAGCTTACATGTGTCTTGGTTTGGAAGTGAAAGACACAGATACAATGAAAAAAAAGTAAACGGCAAGGCCCTGCTGACATTAATGTTTTTTAGTTGCTGTGTACATCATCCCACTAGATTTTCCATTGGATCAGATGCCAAAAAGGATAGGCTCTGTTTCGAGCCAAAGTGTTCTACTCTGTGTGAATCTTCATGTGATAAGTTAAACTACTTCTACGTCTGAAACTCTTTCCACAAGTCCCACAAGAGAAAGGCTTCTCACCTGTGTGAATTCTGATGTGACAAATTAAACTCTGTCTTTGAATGTAACTCTTTCCACAGGTCCCACAAGAGAAAGGCTTCTCACCTGTGTGAATTCTCATGTGAGTAGTTAAATACTTTCTTATACTGTAACTCTTTCCACAGATTCCACAAGAGAAAGGAGTCACACCTGTGTGAATGCTCATATGATGAGTTAAACTTTGTCTATGATTGTAACTTTTTCCACAAGTCCCACAAGAGAAAGGCTTCTCACCTGTGTGAATTTTGATATGAGCAATTAAAGTGTCTTTTCGAGTAAAACTTTTTCCACAGGTACCACAAGAGAAAGGCTTCTCACCTTTGTGAATTCTCATGTGAACAGTTAAAGTGTATTTTCGAGGAAAACTTTTTCCACAGGTCCAACATGAAAAAGGCTTCTCGCCTGTGTGAATTCTCACGTGACAAGTTAAAAGCTTTCTTACACTGTAACTCTTTCCACAGATCAAACAAGAGAAAGGTTTCTCACCAGTGTGAATTTTTACATGAGTATTTAAATTGCTTCTGTTGGTGAAATGTTTTTCACAAGTCCCACACGAGAAACGTTTCTCACCTGTGTGAATTCTCATGTGCTGAATTAAAGTCCCTCTTTCACTGAAACTCTTTCCACATGTCATACAGGAGAAAGGCTTCTCACTTGTGTGAATTCTCATGTGTCTCTTTAAATAGTTGGTGTCATGGAAACCTTTTCCACAGGTTACACATATGGCCAGATTTTCTCCTGTGTGAATCTTCATGTGACGGATTAAACCATGTTTTTGTCTGTAACTTTTCCCACAGGTTGAACAAGTGAAAGGTTTTACTCCTGTGTGAGTTCTCATGTGTCTCTTCAAGTTTACCGTTTAGAGAAAAGGTTTTATCACAAATTTTACAGGAATATAATTTTTGCCCTTGCTGAGCTTTCTTTTGCTTTTTTTGTTTTTCAGTGTCAGTTCTGTCTTTCTGCTGTTTGGTTTTCTCATATCTCTCGTTTTGTTTCTGTTCTTCCTTTCTCTTTTTTCCTGGATTTTCAGAATTGCTTCCTTCCTGATCCTGGTTCTCAGTTTCTGCAGAGCCATGAGGGATGAGTTGGTTCCTCTGTGGTTCTGTTTCATTGAGAATCTCCTCCTCTTCACTGCATTGTGAGAGATCTGGACAAAAAGAAAAAACAAACAATATTAATCAAACAATAAATTCTTCACTTTAACCTCAAAGTATCAAAACATGATTTTCTTCGGTTAATCTATCATTACAGTCTTACAAAAATGAACAATATTTCAATCAATGAGGTTCTTCTGACCAGAATAGAACTAGATGCAAGTCAAAATATAATATTATGGATCTCCAGGTGAGCAAACAAGATGGCGGTAACTTAATCCAGAGGCTTCCTGACTAATGTTAGAAAAAGTTTTCTTCCTCCAAGTAGCTACAGAATATATATCACGTTAAAGAATGACAAAATGCCTGACGCGAAACACTTAATGGTATTTTAATCTCACCCACTGATAGTCAGACATTGCTCCACTCACACACTCAACACAAACTTTCAAAGAACAAATAAATCTCAGCCTTTACTTTCCTGTGATTCACAGCAGAACTGATAGCAGTGGGTGATTGTTGTTAATCGCACACATGCAGAAAATAATGTCAAAATGGTTCTATTGAAAATATTTGACATGAATATTGGACAATTTGGAAGATTAAATATAAAAGGTGAAAATGATATAATTATTTAAAGGGTTTATTTAATACACAATTATTAAATATGTCATTACATTATTAAAATAGAAACTTATTAGCCAGTCAAGACAATTATTAAATATGCTTTTGATTGCTCTGTTCATTATTATCATCGCCTGGTTCCAGTTCCTGCAGTGTCACCATAAAATAATTCCCCAATCAAAGTGGAGGGCGGGGCTGTGGGCGGGGCTAACACTGACCTTTAAACATAAATTTGAGCCGTTATTCTGTCAGAATAGCTGACATGCATTGAGTACAAATGCACATTAAGAGGTGCTGTCAGTTCAGCATCTGTGACAAGATACAAGAGAAAGTCAATAGATTTATTGATGATGGATTGATATAAATGCATTGTCATGGTTTCACAGTGTAATTGACTGCAGTCCACTATGAAACCTGCCTCCTGTTCCTTGATGATGGTCTGACTGGTTAACCGCCAAGTCAGAATGTCATACAGCTGTTGACTAATTTTATGACTATCTCTCTTCTATGTCATGATGTTATGTTGCTGATTTAATACAAGCAGGTTTTCACCAGAGAAATCCTTTTCACCTGTGAGAATCTTCATGTGATAAATCAACTATTCTTTTCACTGAAACTTTTCCACATGTTAAAAATGTGAAAGACTTCTTGTGTGATCAAGCAACCGATTAGAGAGAAGGTTTTATCATAAACTTTACAAGAATATAACTTTTGGACTCTGTGAATTTTCAAGAGCCTTTTTTGGTTTGAACAATCAGTTTTACCTTTCTGGCATCTTTTGTTGTGTTTTTGTTCTTCGTCTTTCTGTTTCCTGGATCTTCAGAATTGCTTCCTTCCTGATCCTGGTTCTCATCCTCAGCAGAGCCATGAGAGATGAGTTGGTTCCTCTGTGGTTCTGTTTCATTGTAGATTCTTTGCACATTTAGAGGATTCACCAAAATGTCGTCAGTCTCCAGTTTCAGCACCTGATGCTCTTCATCCTGACTGATGCAGAGTTGCTTCTCTTCCTCTTTCAACTCTTGATGTTCTGGTTCCTCTTGTTCCTGTTTCATCTGCAGAGGTTCTGGTTCCTCTTGCTCCTGTTTTATCTGCAAAGGTTCTGGTTCCTCTTGCTCCTGTTTTATCTGCAGAGGTTCTGGTTCCTCTTGCTCCTGTTTTATCTGCAGAGGTTCTGGTTCCTCTTGCTCCTGTTTTATCTGCAGAGGTTCTGGTTCCTCTTGCTCCTGTTTTATCTGCAGAGGTTCTGGTTCTTCTTTATCTGAAGTGGACTTCCTCTCCTGGATGCTGAATTTATTTAGATCCTCCTCCTCTTTACATACCCAGCAATGTGGCAGATCTGCACAAAAACACAAAATAAGGAAGTCTTCATTTTAATCACTTAAAGCCTTCTCAAAAAATTCAAAGACTAAAATTACAAATTAATCAATTAACTTGAAAGGATCAATAAATCAGTCAAAACATACTATGGATCTCCAGGCGAGAAAGCAAGATGGCGTTAATTAAACCAAGTGGCTCCACGACAAAAAGTTTAAACAGCAGCTTGATTTAGTGCTGTTCTTATACATAATTCGAAGATGAAAACATTTAATGCGTAGAGCAGCTTGTTTTCTAATGCGCATCACAAAAGAAAATGAACATTTAAACCCTATAAGTTGGGATCGCCACCATCGCTGTATATATTAGGAATTCTAAATTGACATTAGTATCCAAAAAAGACCAGGGGCATCCATCTAACCATTTACTAACAACATTGACCCTAGTGGGGTCAGGAGGTGCTGGGGTCACCCTGGACAGGTCGCCAGTCTGTCGCAGGGCGACTCAGAGACAGTGCAATAATATTAGCCTGCATGATCTTTTCCTCTCAGGTTAGGGCTCTGCTTTGCTGCACAAGCATCAGCCTTTTCCTTGCAATAAGCTTCTAGCTATTTTTATTATTTATTAGCCATGTTTAGGACCCTGAATGCAGGAAGTCAATGTAAGACCACATTGTAATGATGCCCCACATGCTACTAGCAGCATTTAGGCTAACATTAGCATTTTGGCTCATTTTAGATTATACACTAATTTTAACAAACTGAATGGAGGAAGTCCATGTTAGTCAACATGCTTGTGACTTTCCACAAGCTATTGACTACAATTTAGCTTAGCTTAGCATTGATGCTAATTGTTAGCATCAGAGCGCTGATGGGGCCACACTTTAGCAGGCCCCGGTTACATTTATCCAGGGATTTTCTGTTTCTATTTAATTTAAGCGGATTCTAAAAATAGGTTTCCGAACACAACGATTATTTATCTGTAAAAACTCTCTTTAACCTGATTAATCAGTAAACCGTGAAGCTGTTTACCTATCCGGTGCAAGATGATCTTGGGTATCCGGGTAAAATCCATCAGTCTGCGCTGATCGTCCATCTTCCTCCATCTTAACGTTGATTTCTTTCCACTCTGTGAATGTTTTCTTCAGCAGTTTCCTGCTGCTTGATAAAACTCTCTGAGTCTGAAACTGAAGACATTTTCACTGAAAACACCAAACCTGTTTTCAAACCGTCCTCTAACAAAGGAACAGCTAATGCTCCCTCGTGCGCTCTGAGATGGTTCCTGTGTTTCACTTTTATTGCACTGAAGAAACTGTAAACAATTTTTTGTTCCTCTTTGAGTTTCCTCTAATTATATTGAATATTTTATATTAATAAAAGGATAATATATTTCAGTGAGTGAAACACAGTATTAAAGTAATTCCACAAACACATGGAGGTTTCCAAGCCTTTCATTTCTGTTAATTATGAGCATTTTCTCCAGATCATTGAAGAAGAGCATTTATTTTTAGAACATTACATCATTCGGACTAATGGAAAGAAAATTAAGAAATGTGAGCTGGAGACAGTTAACAAAAGATATTTATTCTTAAATCAGATTCATATTGGAACATCGAATGAAAATTTATGAGTATGATCTTTTAAGTTTATAAAAACAATCTAATGTTATATCAGATTGTAGGTTATGATTCAGTTTTAAAGTTTAACACTGAATGACTACATATATTTGAGAGGAATATGGTTACATTTTTTTGACTTGAAAATATTAATAACTGAGTCTTGTGAAAAAAGATACATATAATGTTATGTACCTACATAAAGAAGTGAAAACATAAAAACTCACTTTAGAGACGAGATAGAAGAAGACACATAACTTTAATTAAAACCACAAAGTCATTATTTTGCTTGTATCATCATACATGTACCTGAACAAAGAGATGTTATTAATCATTCATTTAAAAACATACAAAGAAAATATGTTAGAAATTTAAAATAACAGAGGAAAACATTGTGATGCCTCCCAAAGGAGCAAAAAGTGTTTCACTGAATCTGATCCCTGCTAAGAATCAAGTCACTTTGCAGCTGTAAAAATACCAACGTACTGTAATAATCCTGGTTTCCTGTTGCAGAACCTAAACATCTTTTACAACTAATCTGGTCTGGTCTGCCTGGGTGCTTCACTTTATGCACCTGTACCATGAAAGGGATTGGATCACCTGAGTCTGATCATTACAATGGGTGAGAAAATATTTTGATAATGTAGAGCATGTACATACAAACACATTTTAACAATGACTTCTGTGAAACAAATATTTGGTAAAAGGAAAATCTCTCTGCTGTTAGCTCTAAATCAAATCTGAACAGATCTCAATAATATTTGAGTTTTTTTCTTTCAAACAAAACAGAGTTGACCTGGATGCTGCATGTGACCTGCAGCATCCAGGTCACATGCTTCAGACATGTGACCTGGATGCTGCAAGAAATTCAGATGGGGTCAGGAAAAGACTGAACGGCTGGATAGATTATAATTGTTAGCATGAAGGTCCCACTGAATAAACACATTATCTGTCCAGGACTCAGCACTAAGTTAGATGCTAACAACATTAGCACTCTGGGGATTACCAAGCTAGGATGTAAAAACAATACGCGTTGCCTTACATATGAACAGGGCCGTACAGAGACAGTTGAAGGGTAGGGGCTTAACGTTAAAAAGGGGAACATTGAACAACATCTTAAAACAGCAACATAACAACAACCCATAATACCTACATTTCTAAGTTTCAATGAGTTAACACAGCCA